AGGCGGATATCATGGGAGACTGTGTCGAAAGCCTTGCTGAAGTCAAGGTAGATAACATCCACAGCTCTCCCTTCGTCTACCCAGCCAGTCATGTCATCATAGAAAGCTATCAGGTTGGTCAGGCATGATTTCCCCTTGGTGAATCCATGCTGACTACTCCTGATAACCTTCTTTTCTTCCACTTGCTTGATGATGGCCTCCAGGATAAGCTGCTCCATCACCTTTCCCGGGACGGAGGTGAGGCTTAGTGGCCTGTAGTTCCCTGGGTCCTCCTTCTTGCCCTTTTTGAAGATTGGAGTGACATTGGCCTTTCTCCAGTCCTCGGGCACCTCTCCTGTCCTCCAGGACCTCTCAAAGATGATGGAGAGTGGCTCAGCAATGACATCCGCCAGCTCCCTCAGCACTCGTGGGTGCATTCCATCGGGGCCCATGGATTTGTGGACATCCAGATCGCTTAAGCGATCCCTCACACAGTCCTCCTCGACCAAGGGAAAATCGTTCTCTTTGTAGGCTTCATCTCTTCCCTCCGGGGCCTGGGATTCCTGAGGGCCAGTCTTAGCACTGAAGACTGAAGCAAAGAAGGCATTCATTAGCTCTGCCTTCTCCGCATCCTCCGTCACCAGGACACCCGCCTCATTCAGCAGCGGCCCCACGTTGTCCCTAGCCTTCCTTTTGCTGCTGATGTAGTTGAAGAAGCCCTTCTTGTTGTTTTTGACATCCCTTGCCAGCTTCAATTCCAGGTGAGCCTTGGCCTTCCTCGTCGCATCCCTGCATGCTCTCACCACGTTTCTGTACTCTTCCCAAGTGGCCTGTCCCTCTTTCCACATTCCATGCACCTTTCTCTTCTGCCTGATCTCCGCTAGAAGCTCCTTGTTTAACCATGCAGGTCTCCTGCCTCCTTTGTTAGATTTCTTTCTCAGGGGGATGCATTGCTCCTGTGCATGGAAGAAGTGTTGTTTAAAGAGCGACCAGCACTCATGGACCCCCCTGCCTTCGAGAGCCCTGGCCCACGGGATTCCTCCCAGTAGCTCCTTGAAGAGGGCAAAGTCAGCCCTCCTGAGGTCCAGGGTTTTGATCCTGCTTATCGCCCTGCTTCCTCCATGCAGGATCCTGAACTCGACCATTTCATGGTCACTGCAGCCGAGTCTACCTCCAACCTTCACGTCCTCCACCAGTCCCTCCTTGTTTGTTAACACGAGGTCCAGCAGCGCGCCTTTCCTTGTTGGTTCCTCCACCACTTGCATCAGAAAGTTATCATCAATGCTCTGTAGGAACCTCCTGGATTGCGCCTGCCTAGCTGTATGGTCTTCCCAGCTGATGTCAGGGTGGTTGAAGTCCCCCATGAGAACCAGGGCCTGTGACTGTGAGGCTGCTTGCAGCTGCCTGTAGAAGGCCTCATCAACCTCCTCCTCCTGGTCAGGTGGCCTGTAGTATACACCCACAGTAATGTCACCCTTATGAGCCTGTCCCTTAATTCTAACCCACAAGCTTTCAACTCGTTCCTCATGTGCCCAAAGATAGTAAAAGCAGCACATACATCTAAAGCCAAAGAAACCCCAAGCAGTTCTAAGTATGACAGGCAGTTTGCTGAGAAATAACCAAAGAATTAAAATTCTATGAACCATCCCTCTGCAATTCAGTCATATGTTCCTCATCTTTCTTTTCTTCTGGTGCTATTGTCACACCACTAACTTCAGAGTTGATCTGTTTCAAACAGAGAAGAGGAGAATGTTATTAGCTGCAACGTCTATGCATCGCAACGTTTACATGCCTACTACCATGGCATCACTGGCTGGGTAGATGAGGGGAGACGTCTACAGTGGATGTTGTCTACCTTGACTTCAGCAAGGCTTTTAACACTGTCTCCCGTAATATCCTCAGAGGCAAGCTCAGGAAGTGTGGGCTATATGAGCAGACAATGAGGTGGATTGAGAACTGCCTGAATGGCAGAGCTCAGAGGGTTGTCATCAGTGGCATGGAGTCTAGTTGGAGGCCTGTAACTAGTAGGGTTCCCCAGGGGTCAGTATTCGGCCTCGTCTTGTTCAACTTCTTCATCAATGACCTGGATGAAGAGTTAGAGTGTACCCTCAGCAAGTTTGCTGATGGCACAAAACTGGGAGGAGTGGCTGATATACTGGAAGGCTGTGCTGCCATTCAGCAAGACCTGAAAAGACTGGAATGCTGGGTGCAGAGGAACCTGATGAAGTTCAACAAGGGCAAGTGCAGAGTCCTGCACCTGGGGAGGAACAACCCCATGCACCACTACAGGCTTGGGGTGGACCTGCTGGAGAGCAGCTCTGTGGAGAGGGACCTGGGTGTCCTGGTGGACGACAGGTTAACCATGAGACAGCAGTGTGCCCTGGCTGCCAAGAAGGCCAATGGGATCCCTGGGGAGGCCCCATCTGGAGTACTGTGTCCAGTGCTGGGCTCCCCAGTTCAAGAAAGATGAAGAGCTACTGGAGAGAGTTCAGTGGAAGGCTACGAAAATGAGGAGGGGACTGGAGCATCTCTCCTACGAGGAAAGGCTGAGGGAGCTGGGCTTGTTTAGCCTGAAGAAGAGAAGGCTGAGACAGGAACTTATAAATGCTTATAAATATCTTAAGGGTGGGTGTCAAGAGGATGGGGCCTTTTCAGTGGTGCCCAGCAACAGGACAAGGGGGCAACAGGCACAAACTGAAGCAGAGGAAGTTCCACCCGAACATGAGGAAGAACTTCTTCACTTTGAGAGTGACAGAGCACTGGAATAGGTTGCCCAGAGGGCCTGTGGATTCTCCTTCTCTGGAGATATTCAAAACACACCTGGACAAAGTCCTGTGCAACCTACTCTAGGTGAACCTGCTCTAGCAGGGGGGCTGGACTAGATGACCCACAGAGGTCCCTTCCAACCACCACCATTCTGTGATACTGTGAACGTCAATTTCCAGTTCATTTCCTGAATGATGGCATTGTCCATTCAATCCCTTCTCAGTGAAAAGGACCAGAAATTCAGCTCTCCCACTCTTTGGGCGAGTGCCTTATCTGCTAAGGTAATTACAAAAATCAGGGCATGACCACTACTGGAAATCTTGATGGAGTTTTAGGCTAGCATGTGTTCTGATTTTTTTTTTTTTTCCCCTCTTATTGCATATCTATGGCAGATCCATTTCTTCAAATTTGCTCATCACCATCAGTGTTTATACTTAAACTGTTAATCATACTAGTCTCATCTGGCTCCTTCTCTGATGTGATGACTATAGAAAAGCTACACTTTTCCTAAAGACTTTTAAAAGGTTTTGTCTCAACTCTTGCCTTCATGAGAGACTTAACTGTCTCTTCGCTGTCTCTCTATGCAAATTTCTTCCTTTTCCTTCTGGAGTATGCTATATACTGCTATACACTGGCATGGTCTAGGTCTTTGATTCATTCTATACAAATAGTACAAACAGTAATCTAGATCTGTATTGCTGGATAACACTCGCTCATTAATGATAAGCTAAAGTAATGCTATCAATGTGTATATTTCTAAGCAAGTTTATAAAATTCTATAGATTTCCAACAGTAGAAACTTTCTCTTCATTCTGTAAACCAGAATCAAGTTCTAAATAAAAGGCACTTCGATAATAAAACAGTGAAATGAAGATATGGAACGGTTTGTAGACTAAGACTTCACAGTCAGTTTGGGCTCCAACCTGTTAGTCTACACCATTGGTTTGGAACAGAAACTTTTTTTTTTTAAAAACATTGCAGGAATATTGTACAATTTACCATTTCACAGGTTTGAGTAGTGGGAAAAGGAAGAACTCACAGAGGCTTTCCCCCTATGCACTCTGCACTGTTATGGTCAGGGGTCCAGGCCACTCCTTTCCAAAGCCATTCTTCAGAGATAACCTAACTTTCAGTCAGTAATTCTTCTATACCCGTATTTTCTTGGAGGAATAGCTTTCTAAAAGTTAAATTTATAATCAAATCAGTAACGGAGGCAGGTTAAGTGATAAGGAGTACCAGTCAGTTACAATGTGATTATCTAACAGCCACAATTAGAATACAAATACATACAAGTCAACAGTTCCACACAGTGCCATATCTTGCTACAGACTAGGAAACATCTATAGTACAGAGAATATCTAAAGATAAAGATGACATACCTTCTTCAAAGAGTAACATCATGTTGGTGCTTTTGTTAGCAACCATGTTATTCAGTAAGGCGATTACAGTTTGCATTGTATTCCCAAGTACACTGTCTTGGTGTTCCTGTGAAAACATAAAGAAAACAAAAAACAAATGAAAATAATCTAGTTTTCCTTTTACAAGGTTAGTAGATGACTATTCCCTTCCAAAAATGTAGCAACAGAAAAGCAATACTCTCTCAATTCCATAAAGTTCAACATTTAAAATACTGGAAAACCAGCCAAATATCTTAGTAGATAATACAGACTTCAGGGAGCCAAATCTAAAAATCTTGGACCAAAACTTCTTCCATGTTCTTTTGAACTGAAAGAGTTCCTAGTTAGGTCTAAAATTTTAGGACTTGTAAAAATGGTATAGAGCTTTATCAACCTAATTGCTATATATGCAGAACCAGGAACATTTCCCTTTGCATAGTCTTTTTTTTATTAATGGTGTTACATTTACTCTTTCCAATTTCAGCTTGATAACCCACAGTAAGTCGTAAAATCTATTTGTTGTTTTTGATTGTATGCTTTCTTAAGTATAAAGTTAATTTCACATGCACATTAAAGACCTATTTCTGTACTGAAATACATCATGCTTATGAAGTCTTTCTTAGATTGACGATTGCTTCAGTGATTTTTCACAATTTTCTGAGACTATACTAATAAGAGGAAGGCATTAGGTTTTATAAAGAAATTTGTTTTCCTCTGTTATAGTTAACACACTTGCACACCCAATCTGAAAAAGGTGGATAAGGCAGTGCAATCAAAGCATTTATTTATTGCCACTAGTGACGATAATAACTCAGATAACTTACAAGAAGCCAAAATAGGACAAGCTTTTCCAAATCTGAGCCTACATATAAACATAAGCCTGAAAAAATTTCAAATCTCCCCAGAAAGTTCAGGAAATATTCCATTGTATTTTTCAGACTCAAAGCCAAATAGAAACATACATCCAAAGTGAAAACAACAACTTCAAGAAAAAACTGTAATTTCACATATTGTAGACTTCATGCCTGCACCTAGGTGACTTCCATACTTCCCTTTCCCATCAAATCTCTCAATACACTGATATCACTCAACTACTTCACTGCCACAGAATATGCCATCTATTCTGATCCATCTCCTGTCTGACAGTAGGCCTTTGAAAAAAAGTTCAAATTTAAGTTGAACAAGATGAAAGATTATTGGTCTGAAATAAATTATTTCAGATGACATAAATTACTTCAGTCCTTGAATACAGTCAAAGGAACACTCTCTCCAGAAGTTCTTTTACGAGACGAGTACCAGTGGCCAAGAACAGTTTATTTTCTACATCTCTTTGCTCAGGTATTTATGAACTTCCATTTCCAATGTATGCCTGAAAACAACAGCAGCAATCTATCCTTCTTTGGGATAATCAGACTGACCATCTAAACATCATAGCTAGTGCAGAATTAGGCTGTTTGACTGTTAGCCAGCAGCAATCACAAAGAACATACTTCACTATTTTTTCCAAGAAATCACTTCAAGTCAACCTATGAATGCCATTCAGAGTGATATCTCTAGTTTCTAAGCCACTTTTTGAGTTGGGCCAGGACAGTCATCAGCACTGCACTTAGGATAAGCCACCCTATTTGAACCCCTGTCTGGAAACATCATGTTACTAGTTGCAAGAAATTCTCAAGTGAAACACTCCTGATTTTTATTTCTTGACCAGTCTGACAAAACTCAGTGTACTGTGAAATGCATCTTCAACGCCGCTTCAGAAAGTCCTCTGTTACAGTAGTATAAAGGGTCATGTTATGTGAAGAAGAGATGTTTTCCTTTAAACATTTAACTACTGAAGGAAAGTTTTTGACAGGCAGAGGCTGAGATGGTTTGAGTGCATTAATTTGTTTCTGCACTCAAAACCTAAAATTAAATGCTATTATTTCCCGTAAATATTATGAAATACACAAGATAAGGCATAACACATGAACAGATAAATATATAAACATATACAGCCTCGTATTCAGCTTCAGGCTGTATGAATTTTCTATTCGTACTAGAGCACTTCAAACTGGATCATAAGGAGGAGAGACAAGGAAGAGTGGCTCACAGCCTTTTGAAGAAGTGTAGTTTCCTACCAAACCCTTAAAAAAAAAATAAAAAAAAATCCAAGAGCCCCAAAGTCCTATTTACTTTACATAACACTATGAGATGTCATTTATGATTTCTGTAAAGAGTATAATAAATATCTGTTCCTCTGAAGGTTTAAAATACAGCCTGATACATTTAAAAGTAATGTTGGAAAGTATAAATGCTACTTTCTTCAAAAGATAAGGTAACCAATACAAAAAAGAGATACCATAGAGCCATGGTACTAAAAATAATCTTGAAGTTCTTCCCTACAGAGAGCTGAAGGGCAAGAAAAACATTTTTTCAAAAGATCAATATCATGTTTATCTGGTAGTCTATCATCAGAATATCTTATTAATTCTCCTAAAGAATATTTAGAACACAATACATTAAACGGTAAGAATGACTATTTGTATTATTGAAGATAATGATACATACACTGTGAATATAAAATTAATAAAAGAAAAAAAAAATCCGCAAGTGCCAAAATGAGAGCTGACTCAAATATTTTCCTTGCAAGTATAATATTTCTGTTACTGCCCCATATATTTGAAGTAAACATCTTCCAGTAAAAATCCCTTTTCAGATATGTAATTACAAGAGAAGCTGGTAGTTGCTTACGATACCAATCTTTTGCATTCACCAGGTTAGCAACATTAAATTGAAGCCGTCTTTGCTTTTAATGGAGATCAAATACACTATACAACCCCCTACTGAAAGACTAGCACTAATGTTTTTACTTGTATCAAAGCATATGTAACAAAACTTATCTTACTCTAAACACAAATAAACCAGAATTCAGGATGCAATGCAGATATCTAGAGGATGCAAAAAGGTCTCTTCAGGAACAAAGTAATCTTACAAATGGTATACTCAGCCCTACTACTAGAGTTTTACCTTTTGTATTATAGATGTTTTTCGACCAGATACTAGGTTTGAAGAATCTACAGGTATGCTTTACTTATCTAAATCATCACTGATTGCTGTTAGACTCGATTTTAGAGGTTTATATAAAAATATTCAACTTCTTCATAATCTATCAAGGAGCAAAGCTGATCTAATTTGTGTGCACAGCACCACAGACTGTGGACATTTAATGAACAGTGCACTTGACAGCTTTAATAAAACATAGCATTTGCCAGCAAAGATAATTAGAATTGAAGCAGCAATATTCTAGTGTTTGGCAACACAGATGAAACAACTTCATTAAAATGTACTGCTTCGGTGAATGAAAGGCAGGAAAGCATTGGACCCTGAAGAATCAGCCTTCTCAAAACTAATTGCTTCAGTGCTTAAAAAGGACAGCTATGAAATACCAAGGGCATAACAAGGAAATACTACTATAAAAAAAGGGACCACAGAAGATAAATCAGGCTTTTCAAACAGTACCACACTATATTTAGGCCATTAAACTTTCCATTCTAATTTTGAAGGGTTGTACGTTAACAAAAGAAATCAGTTGAAGTATTCTTTTAAAGCCAGTTAGGTAAGAGGGTGTGAAATATCAAAGTGGGAGTATGAATCTTGGCAAGATACTATGGCTGAAGCTGCCATTTCTCTTCCTTTAAGCAGATTAGAACTTAGAACAGCATAGGCAAACTACAGTATTTTAATTACATTTTAGATAACAAGAGAGATAGCAATTGTGATAAGAGGTTATCAATTTGGGAGACTTCACATGCACACCTCCTACTCATGTATCTAAGAATCCAGAAGAAAATGCACTAAATGCTATGTTTACAGACATGTTATAATTAAATCTAAGGACTACTATATACCAGGGTACTACTGCTCATTCAATATAATCAGAGTGACTAAACTTTAACGATAAAGGGACTCTCCTCCATAGGTCATATGACCTACAAATGCAAGTGAGGTAAATAAGGGGATGCAACAAGACTGAGGCTTGAATTTTCATACACTAAAACCATTGAAAGAAGAAAATTATAGAAATGAACCATATCCAAAATATATTTACTAAAAGACGCCATTTTTATGTGATGATTCTTTGGCACAGTACAGTTGAGATAAAATAAACCGAAGTAATCAAGCTAAAAAAGACCTATAGCAATAGCACAGTTTAAGATTGCATTCAACCTAGCTTATTTTGATATACTTTGTATATATGAAACAAAAAGAGGATCAGACATTTTTCTGGACATAAAACAGTGGCCAGGAGGTCAAGGCAGGTGATTCTGCCCCTCTGCTCCACTCTGGTGAGACCCCACCTGGAGTCCTGCTTTCAGCTCTGGAGCCCTCAGCACAGCAGAGACATGGAGCTGTTGGAGCGGGACCAGAGGAGGGCCACAGAAATGACCAGAAGGATGGAGCCTCTCCTGTAAGGAAAGGCTGAGAGAGCTGAGGCTGTTCACTCGGGAGAAGAGAAGGCTGAGGGGAGACCTTATAGCAGCCTTTTAGTACTTAAAGGGGGCTTGTAAGAAAGAAGGGTACAGGCTTTTTAGCAGGGCCCTGTTGCAATAGCACAAGGGGCAATGGTTTTAAACTAAGAGAGGGTAGATTTAGACTGGGATATAAGGAAGACATTTTTTACCGTGAGGGTGGTGAACCATTGGAAGAGGTTGCCCAGAGAGGTGGTAGATGCCCCATCGCTAGAAACATTCAAGGCCAAGTTGGATGGGGCTCTGAGCAACCTGATTTAGTTGAAGATGTGCCTGCCCATTGCAGGGGGGTTGGACTAGACGACCTTTAAAGGTCCCTTCCAACACCAAATCTTCTATAATTCTATGATAACAATAGAACCCTTTTGTATGAAATGGTATTATTAGCATGCAGCCTGCAAGGGACATTCACAACAGCATATACACTGTTCTTCAATCACAGGAGGTAGCCCACTGAGGAACAAATTTAATCCAGCTGTGTACATAGATGGCTAATCTGTTCTTTAAGATTTTGTGGCTTTTGATGCCGAAGACCAGTTATGCATAAACTGAAGGCATATAAATGTGGATCTCTAACATT